TTTGTCACCAGTATCAGGGAAAAGATCTGTAATTCCCACATCTCTGTTGTCAAAGAGCGGAAGCAGGCCTAGCAACAATAGGGGCAGGAAGGGTCGATGAGGGAAAATTATTGGAACATGAGGGAATTTGTTCCTCATTGTTGCCATATTGTTCCATGCAGCGGCGCTTGGCTGGGTGGGCAGCTGATGTGGTGAAACTTGTACTGGCACTAGCAGGCGGGGCAAATCTATTCTCCGATTCTACATCACTAAAACCTGAGAGATTCACCTGTTTCAGACTTGTCGATCATATTATAAACATGCAATGGAACAGATGAACTATGTGCTTGGGCACGAAGTAGTGTTGAGTGGTGTTGAGTAGTAGCGGGTAACTCTTGTGGCACCAACATGTTCACCCCTCACTATCCGTGGTTTCTATTTCTTCAGGCTGTGTATAGTCCTCATCTATATCCGAGTTGTCAATATCAGATTCGTCAACGTCCTTGGACAATTAATTCGTTGGCAATTTCGTCTTCGGTCAAAGACTGCGCAGCGTGGTGCGCTGAGCGAGGTCGGACGTGATGCGCTCCCCATGGTGTCTGGCCACTAACTAAGGCCTGGGAAACAAAGGAGGCCTGCTCTAGATTTTTTTTCACGATGACGTCTGTTTACAATTGCCCCTGGCTACGGTATGGGTGACCCCTTTACATCGCAGGACATTTGAATCGTGCCTCGCACCCTTTGGCGTATATATATATACGCCATGCACACAGTGGGCTATGCTACTCATGGCGTATATATATGCCATGCACAGTTTAAGGGTTAAGTAGCTCCGAGGAGCCGACAGGGCTTCCCCCAGAAAACCAGCTTTGAATGTAATGAAATGCCATTTTCTGGGTGAGACCCAGAGGCTTCTCTGCAACCCTCTCTCCATCCGGACAACGGTTTTCACAGTTTTGACATCCAGCCTCTGACCTGGGGATGGATAGCTGGCATGGGGGGGTATGGAGCTTCCCCTTCCCTCCTACCAGGGAGGGGGGGAGCTGCACAGACAGCGGGACGGTGATGGTTGTGACGTCGTGCTCGTTTGCTCGTTTTTAGTTTGGGGAGTTCTGTCCAACAGTTCGGCTTTCAGGAGCAAATTTTTAACCAGATATGGTTTGTTTTGGGGTGCCTATCTTTCTGGGTGCCTGACCCGGTCGATGGCAGACATAGAATGCTTCCAACCACATGGGGGTTTCTATAAACCAGTGCTCCTCGTGTCTCTCCAAAGAGGGGGCCAGGTTCTGGCTCGTGGTCCCCGGTAGGCATAGAACTCCATTCGCTTGATTGATGCCACAGTCTAATATATTCATATCAGCTCAGATAGCTCCGGGAAGCCTCCGGATCTCACCCAGAAAATGGCTTTTCATTACATTCAACGCTGTTTTTTTTCCCCTATATTCTTGTGTTTGTTTATTCTTTAGTGGCGGTCAGAGGAGGGGCCAGAAATGTTATTCTGAAAATAACTTAATTTTAACAAGTTCCTACAATGTTTCATAAAAAAATATTGAATTAAAGAATTTTGGCCATGGGGGATATCAGTGGGTTTAGTTCATTTACACCAGTGTTTCTCAAGCTCAGCTATGCGGAACCCCATGGTAACTATGGGTTTTGCAAGAGATAGTGATAAATAGGCTAATTGTAATCATATGTAAATGTATTTTTGAATTAGATGTGTTTAATTTGAATTGGCGCTGTTGAAGCTGTTTGTGCTGATTCTCAGGGAGGCCTTGTCTCTGTTCTTTGCCAGGAGTTGCAGGCCTCACGCGTCACCATGCCATGCTTGCTTTCTCCTTACAATCCGTTTGGGCCCTGGCTCCTAGGTTGCGGAGTCTTCTGTCAGTGTCTGCAGGTGACCTAGTCTAGTTTTCGTCCTATGTCGGATTTGTTGCTTCTCCAGGGTGACCATCCTCAGGCGTCTCGGAAGGGTCGTGCCAGGGCTTGGTGTTCCTTTGGTCGGGGTGGGCCCTTGGTGCCATTTTCTGAGCCAGCGCTTCACTCGGAACTAGTGTTGTCTGGTTGGTGCACTGCTTGTTCTGTTCGTTGGCCCTTTTGCGGGCTGCCCCACTGACAGGGCAATGGGCGGAGGCTCGCGCTGTTTGCTCACGCCTGGTTCCATGATTTGTGGGTATTTCAGGTCGTGTTCTCCAGCCTGTGGTGGTGTTGGGCGGCTACTCTGCCTACGGGGGGGTTCGAGACTGGCAGGGCAGGCTTCTTCCTCTTCGCTCCATCGAGTCATCTTGGAGTGGATGCGCTTTGGCATGGTTGAAACGACAACATCCTTTAGGTGGGTTTCCCCCCCCATTTCCAGTACCAAAACAGAACTGTGTGAATCTGCGGTTCATTCTGGACATGTCCCATCTGAACCCCTGGATTCTTTGCCCCTCTTTTCAGGTGACCACTCTGTCCCAGGTCCGGCTTCTTTTGGAGCCAGGTTCTACAATGGTGTCTCTGGACCACTAGGACATGTATTGGCACGTCCCAGTTCATCTGGGGTTCAGGGACTGGCTGGGTTCCATTGTGGGGTTGCAGGCTTCCCACAGCCTTTCTTTTGGCTTGAATCTGGCACCTCACGTATTCTCACATCTTACCCAGGTCGTGGTGACTTGTCTGTGTCTGCTACGGAATTGGATTGTGGCCTACCTCAACGAGTGGTTGGTGTGAGTTCCCAACCGGTATGCTTGTCTGCTCGGCAGGGATGTGGTTCTTTCCCAGTTCGCCGGGTTCGGGTTCCTGGTGAACTGGAGGAAGTCCCATCTGGTTCCATCCCAGGTTCGGACCTGGCTGGGCCTTGGGTGGGACTCTTGGACCGCCCCCCGCCTTCAGCTGTTTCTGTGGGGTGCCAGGTCATTTGGCAGTTGTTAGAGTAGCTGTGCGGGAGTCTGCACTTTGCCGTGCTGGTTTACCTGCCAGAGGCGGTCAGCATCACCCGCGCTGACAGGTGGGAGTTGCCACAAAGATATTAACACTTAATTATTTCAATGTCTCTGATTGATTTTTTCTTAGTTTTTTTGCAGTAATATTATTCAATAGTGTGTATTGTAAAATAAATAAATAAATAAATTATATATATATATATATATATATATATATATATATATATATATATATATATATATATATATGTATATATATATATATATATATATATATATATATATATATATATATATATATATATATATATATATATATATATATATATATATATATATATATATATATATATATATATATATATATATATATATATATATATATATAATTAATAAAATAAAAGTGGTGAATAATTGCTATTCTCAAAAGTATGGTGTGCATATTATTGATTCAATTATGTTCATAAAACAATAAAGAAATAGTTTTGCTGCTATTACACTCTATATGCACACGTTATATATAAGTATCTGCATGTTTTGTTCACCATAACGAACCACTAAGTTGGTATTGAGGGTCAAAAAGCAATGAGGAGTGACCGCCACATACCAGCCAGCAACTCGTTGCCACTTCCTCAACTTGACCAGTGACCGGGCCCGGGTACATTGATCCTTGGAACCTCTCCTCCCACCCCTCTCCCTTCGAAAGTAAACTCGGGACAGGAATTGCTTATGTGTCGAGATTGTCTGAGGTCATGGCTCAGCTCCAGGTCCGAGTTCGATCGCCGTTGGGCATTATCGATTTTGAAAGTACAGTAAGTAAATTGCTTTTAATGGAAGAATTTCAACTTTTTTTGATCTTGAATATGCATCAACCTGAACTGCTATCGAGATTCATTTGCTCATGTACTATGTACATGCTAAGGGAAGCCCAGGCAGGGTACCGCAAACCGGCGCCCCAAGTCTACCAAACAAACTGCTAAAAGCTGAACCCCCGGGACATGTCCACTCACGGGGGCCAAGCGGGGAGTACCACCAACAGAAGAAATTGAAAGAAAACACCAAGAACAGTAATGGGGGACCATAAAGGCAGACCCCCACTAGCAAAAATAAAATAAAAGAAAAACCCCGCAAGAGGATGACAACGTATCCAGACGGAACAGAGCCAGCCGCTGTTATTGGTGAAAACTAGCTGTGCGGTACCCCGCGCCCCTACCAGTGACACCTACCACCTACCCAGAGACAAACCAGGGCAACAAAACCCCAGCCGACTCCAAGGGTGGCCCAGTACCGAGCAGTAAAGGACACAGTGGTGGTAGAACCCAAGGTGACTTGTGGAAGGTGGCCCCAAGCTCTAAGGTCAGTACTTACAGGGCACATAGGGAAGATAGCCCTAGGCGCATGCAGCCCGAGTACCATGGAATCTTACTCCTGGCTCACGCCCCACTGGTAGAGACAGTCCACACCACAAGGCACAGAACTGAAACAAAAACCGGAGCCAGAGGCACTCGACTGGCCAGTAATTCCATCAGCCAAGAACTGCCAGTTGGATCGCCGGCGTGGAGGGTCTAGAGCTCCCCCTTCCCCCTCCCAGGGAGGGGGGAGGTTGTGCAGACGGTGGCACGGTGACATGATGATGTCATGTTAGTTTTATAATTTTGTTTGGGGAGTTCTGTCCACTCGTTCGGCTTTCGGTAGCAATATTTTCACCAGAATAGGGGTTTGCTTTGGGACGCCTACCTTTCTGGGTGCCTATCCCGGTCGGTGGCAGACATAGAATGCTCCCAACCACAAGGAAGTTTCTATAGGCCATTGCTCCTCGTGCCTCTCTGAGGGGGCCAGGTTCTGGCTCGTGGTCCCCGGTAGGCAAGAATTCCTAGCACTTTGACTGATGCCAGAAAGTTACATTTATCCATTTAGCCTGGATAGCTCCAGGGAGCCTCCGGGACTCATCCAGAAAATGGCGTTTCATTACATTCAGCATTGGATTTTTATACAAAGTTTTATCACAAAGTGCAGGATAAAAGCTATTCAGTGAGACACTTTAATACATGTGCTTTTCTAATGATAAATCAAATGCATAATTAATGTTAAATTCTTTTCCAGCATTTTTGCCGGAACTGTGGTTCTGGCCAACCTCATGCTTATGCTGACCTGGGTACCAGCATGTGTTGTGGTGGCTGAGAAGTGGGGAGCCTCCACCTGCTGTCTCTGTGTTCCCCCTGCACCTGTATATGCTCCCCATCTGCCACCTCGATGTTCTGTGCTGTGTGCCCTGCCACTCAGATTTTGTTACTTTTGTGCTGAGTCAGCAAGAATTTTCTTCGAGAAGATGCTCCCTTGGGTGATAGTGAAGCCCCGCCACCTATGGGTCTTGTTGCTGGGTTCTCTGGCAGCATGCAGTGCTGTTGTTGTATTCTACTTCCCAGGCCTCAAGTTACCTGATTCACAAGAATTTCAACTTTTTTCAAGAGATCATGTCTTTGAACAGTATGATTTAGAGTACAAATATAAATTTTGGTTTGAGAGGAATCTAAGAAGTGATATTGTGAATCTGCTACCAGTACGTATCGTTTGGGGAATTAAGCCAGTGGATAATGGGGACTACCTCAACCCTGCTTCAAAAGGAACATTAGAATTTGATGATAGTTTTGATGTATCTCTACCAGAATCTCAGGAATGGTTGCTAAACTTTTGCCGTGATCTTCGAAACCAAAGCTTTTATATGTCTACCCTGGGTCCTCTACTTCCTAATTGTTTTATTGAAACATTTAAAGCCTGGATGTATAGAAGATGCATAGATCCAAAAACAGGTGTTGATCGATCTCCTTGCTGTGAAGGATCCAAGTTTCCTTACTCTCAAGATGTGTTTGATCAGTGTATTCATAAGGGTATCAAGACTCTTTACCAGACTCCAAGAGAATACTTCATTCCTGGAGTGGCTGGTCCCAAATTCAGTAGAGAAACTGGAAAAGTTGTGGCCATTGTTGTGGAATATGACAGCAACACTTTATGGTCTCTCTCCTATGAGGATATGCAAGACTTTTATAAACAGGTAAGACAATTATCTTTTTATGTTTACTGTACAAATGAATAGTATTAACCCTTAAAGTGAAGATATCTTCATTTGTTGATTGTTAAGTGCAATGTTGTCATAATCAAATAAAGATCTGTTTGAATACCAGTGTAACCCATGTGGTACCCATGATGATGACTGCACTTACCGCTCCAACACAACAGTCTTCACTGTGTATATTTATTTTAGTATAATTATTATTTTACATACAGATTCATTACCTTTGAATATATTTCATATGAGAAATAGGCAGAAAAACTTTTGTTGGTCCTGGCACCCATCACAGTGTAATGCTGACAAATGCTAGGACTATTGACTGCTGCCCTGGTCAAAATAAGAGTACCCTGTATGTGTGTTTTTGTGTACTGTATTTTCATTCCATTTGGAAACAAATCTACCATTTCATAAGAATTTTTCTGGATGAGTCTTTTGGTGGCTCCCTGAAGCTATTTCATTGAGATTGCTTCCCACTATTGAGTCACATCATCCATAGGAGTCCTGTTTGGCCTACTGGGGGACCAGAGCTAGAACTTGACCTCCCTCATACAGGTAAAGAGAGCTAAAGTGGGTGTTTACATCTGGTTCAGAACTGACAGCTTAGTTCCCAGCAGGTAGTGAGTCACTTAACCCCCTCCCCCAAACAAGGTCACACTAGTTTAAAGAGAATTTGATCTTTTGTTCACATAGTTCATTAGGTGGGTTTTGAGGCTTCAGTCTCTCTTGAACCCAGCAGGGGTTTATTTTGACTCGCTGAATTTCTGGTTGCCTTTCTCGGTGAGGTGGCAAAATGTCACTGCTCCCTGCACCTTTGTGAGGAGGCCAGGTTCTGGTGATGGTCCTCGATAGGCCTACTGCACTCCACGGCAGATGCGACCTAATAGATAAAATATAATAGATATACATCTCACTGTATAGCTTCAGGAAGCCACCATGGCTCACCCAGAAATTGGCATTTCATTACACTCAGTGCTGGTACTTTGGTGGGTGTCCCAGGTTTTCCTAGTCCCCAAGTGGGGCTCAGCAGACCTACAGTACATTCTCGACCTCTCGGGATTGAACAGCTTTATTCCCTGTCTGACCTTTTGCATGACCACTTTACCTCCAGTTCACCTCATTTCCTGTCCAACCTTCTGCATGACCACTTTAACTCTGGTTCACTTGGTGTTGCAGGCTAGGGTGTCTTGTCAACCTGTCCTACGAAGAATGTTTCATTTCACTCGTGTGCGTTACTAAGGCCAAAAATTGCCGTACTAGAAAATGGTAGTGGCTCGTGAAAGTGATGTACTGTCCCATTTTCTGTTTTGGGTCCTCTGGTTGGTTAGGAGAGGATACTTTAAATTTACCGTTTTCGTGACATTGGGAAACCTTAGGTGGACGGGCTGGTCTTGTGGGGTATCAGGCTTACAGCTTCAAAGGTCTGCCTTTGAGATTGAATCTTGCTCCTAAGATTATTACCAAGTAAGTGCAGATTGTAGTGGCCTAGCTACATTTGTTGGCTGGTTTACACTCCCAGCTAGTTCATGTAGGTTATCTTGAGGGTTATCTTGAGAGGATTTCGGGGCTTAGCGTCCTCGCGGCCCGGTCCTCGACCAGGCCTCCATTTTGTTACACACACCCCAGGAAGCAGCCCGCAGTAGTTGTCCAACTCCCAGGCACCCATTTACTGCTAGGTAACAGGGGCATCAAGGTGAAAGAAACGTTTTGCCCATTTGTCTCCGCCTCCACCGGGGATTGAACCTGGAACTTCAGGACTACAAATCTGAAGCGCTGTCCACCCAGCTGTCAGGCGCCCATGTAAGTTAGTAACAGTTAATTAAATGACAGATGAGAGGCGGGCCGAAAGAGCAGAGGTCAACCCCCATAAGCACAACTAGGTGAATACAACTAGGTGAATACAGCCACAAACTTCTGCACCGTGCTGTGAGCTCGAAGGTCCCCAACGCCCCTGGCCAGACTGGTAAGCGCTGGTCACAAAGCTTGAAACGAGAGACGAGGCATCCGTGAACACATCAAGTGAAGGAAGAGGAAGGCACCATGGCACCGAACCCTGAAAAACCCGAAGAGGAAGTCTGTGACCCAGCAACCGGTACAAAGACACTGGGGAACGAACCCAGTGATCACGAGAGCGGTGAAACAGGCCAAACCCTGCCCAGCAGATAAACCAGCACAGTAAAGTTCAGGCTCCCACACAGCTGCTCAAGCAACTGCTGAGTGACCCAGGGTCCTCCTCAAAAACAGCCGAAAAAGGAACTGCAACCGGACCAAAGGCTGCCGGAGGAAGAGAGAGAGGGACGCAGTCTGAGAATCCCACACGAGGCCCAGCCAAGTCCAAACCTGGGACGGAACAGTCTGGGACTTCTGCCAGTTCACCAGGAACCCCGAACCTAGCAAGCTGGGAAAGAATCAAATCCCTGGCTAACAGACAAACAGACTGACTGGGAGCCCACACCAGCCAGTCTTCGAGGTAGGCCCAAACTCGAAGATCTAGCAGACACAGATGGGTCACCACAACCAGAGTCAAACGTGTGAAAACGTGAGGTGCCAGATTTAAGCTGAACGGAAAGCAACGAAAGTGGTATGCCTGGTGCCCCACCACAAAACCCAACCAATTCCTGAACCCCAGATGGATAGGGATGTGCCAATACATGTCCTTGAGGTCCATAAATGTGTTTTGCTTAATATTTTACATAAAACGAGACTATAGTCACATAGGATGTTGGTGTCGCCAGTTTGTCGGCCCTTAGCAATTAAGAAGTCACACCTTTAGAGATTTAATGTTCACACGGTGAGTAGAGGTCAGATCGCATCAGGTGACTTCGCTTCTGCTAAACTGATAATTGCAGATGGGTGTCTTGTGGTGTTTCCATCAGACAAGCCGCTGTCTAGGTGGCAGGTAGATACCCAGAAGCTATCTGCTGGTAGGTGGAGCTTGGCTCCCGGGTTCCCCCATATTATACCCTTGGAACTGTACATTTGTGACACTGAGCAGGACAGCGACAGATAGATCACTTGTCAAGAGGGGTTCCCACAGCCAGACTATGCCTGTCCCAGGCCGGGTTGGGACTCTTGTCAGCCATAGCTCCCTTCCCCCCCCCCCCCTCTCGATCAAACTTAGTCTCAGAAACTTTGGTGAATGAGCTTGTAAGGTGATGTATATTGTGATTTCAACTTAGGTGCTGTGTGATTCTCAGTGGCAGTCAGCCATAGGTGCTTTCAAATTCTTGTGTGGTGACTCAAATTGTCTATTAATGTTGACATTTAACATCAAATGATATGGTTGAATTATGATATCGATACGAGTGAAAATCTAATAGGAAATATATAATTGATTAACTTACTTTTTAAATTGCCTTTAAGTGTGATCCTTAGATCTTGGTTTTCTATGATATTATATAGGGAAAGTTAGATTGGAGAGCACTCTGAAGTTTTCTGGCTTAAGATTATGACTTAAAAATTCTTGGTTATACTGTATGAGTTATATTCGTACAGTGGGTATATGATTCACACCAGATAATATTGTTGTGCAGACAAGTTCCATTCTTTCTCAGATAAGTAACAACTTGAATGTATGGTGGTAGCAACTTTCTACTCTTCTACTTCTATCTTTCTACTATTCTAGCACTCTTGCTTACTATTCTACTTTCCTTGATCTCATTTTCTCCTGCTCATTCTAAATTTTCCCTTTCTCCTGACCACTCTTCCTCACACCTCCCATTTACTTCTCTACCTCTAAACACCTTTCTTCTTTTCTTCCATTTTCATTTTACGATACATAATAGCTGGACCTGGAACAACGTGGTCATCCGAAAGGAGGGGCAAGAATCAACCGGTTCAGATGAGACAAGTCTAGAATGTTCCGAAGATCCGCACAGTCCCGTTTTGGAACTGGAAACAAGCTGTAAACCACCCACTTTGTGATGACCCGACAGATGGACGAGGAAGAGGCATGCCCCCAGAGACCCAACCCCCCGACGGGAGGAAGGGCCGATCAACGTTACAAAAGGCCAGAAGAAATTACCTGAAAAGCCCACAAATCGCGGGACCAGGCACGGGCAAAAAGAGCCAGCCTCCCCCTTATCGCCCCGTCAACAGGATGACCCGCGAAAGGGCCGACGTGAACCCCAAGAAGCCAACCTTTGCACAGAGCAAACACCTCACCGACCAGACGAAGAAGGCACCGAAGAACTCACCGAGGCAGAAACTGGCACCAGGGGCCTACCCCAACAAAATGAGGCACGACCCAACCGAGAGGGTCGAGAACGACCCCCACAGAGTACTGACAAGTCTGAAATAGGACGGCAACTCACAGAAGCCACTGACAGAAACCCAGCAACATTGTCCTCCGGAAACAGCAGAGGACAAAACGGAGAAGACTGAAAAGCCAGGGGCCCAAGCTGAATCCAAAGATAGAGCCTGCCGATAGGTGAGGTGAGAGGTGAAAAACATAGAAATCGCCTCCAGGATTATCTGCACAAACAGCTTCGGCAAGGCAAATGACGCAGCAGCACCCGAAACCAGAACCCCAGTCGAGGGCCCCCTCACCAAGCCTCTTCCCCTATATCTTTGAAAAGCCAATCTGAAGACAGCTCCAGAAGACCAAAGAAATGCAAGACCGAGGCCAAATGACCGTGAGTCCGAAAGTCATCAGCCGCAAAAGCAGCCGAAACAATAGGAGCCTGAGCATGCAACTGCTCCAGACCCACGTCACAAGGAAGCGCAGGGGCAAAGAGTCACTCATTAAGAAACTCGAGCAAGCCCCCCAAGAATACCTGCTACACCGAAGAAACCTCTCGCCACTCAAGCGTGCGGGTATGTCAAAAGCCTCGCCAAGCTTCCTCGCTGGGAGCCGGTGGCTGAGTGGACAGAACACTGTATGCGTGATCCTGTGGTCCGGGTTCGATCCTGGGCGCCGGCGAGAAACAATGGACAGTTTCTTTCACCTTGATGCCCCTGTTACCTAGCAGTAAATAGGTACCTGG